ATCACATAGTTAAAAGAGAAAGAAGGGTAGATCAAATGTTAAAATGCCGGAAAATATCAATAGCTCAGTTGGTTGATTAATTCAACTTTGATTTGATATTCCCTAGCTTGTAATTCACTTGTAATAGATCAGTGGTTAACGACGAATTGATTTCCTAGATTGTAATTCATACAAAAGTATCGACATTAAATAATATGCATGTACTTGTGCATGATCATACACAACGTAAGAATCACACTTTGAAAAGATGGATAATTAGTTAGAAAATATCGGGTGCAACAACAACAACAACATGCCCAGTGAAATCCCACTAGGTGGGGTCTGGGGAGGGTAAATATCGGGTGCAAATTTTATAATACAATCACATTTATGTTCGAGGATCAATCAAGATAATTCTCATTGCAATAATGTCATTATTTATTGATCAAACATTAAAGACATTCGAAATTTCATTGATGATAACTAGATGGAGAGAGTATATTTAGCTTATTAATTTCCATTTTTAATAAAATAAGTGAAATGATGCTACAAATTAGCTCAACCTAAATGGAATATTAGAGTTTGATGACCAACAAGTAATTAAAAGTCATTATAATTAACTTGTAAATAATCATGTAAAACTTGAGCAAGTTATTGAGACCTTTGTCTAACCAGTAAAGTCTCAACAACCTTAAAATCACAAACTCAAATTATTGTAACATAAACAAGGTACTTAATACTCTCAAATCGTTAAAATTATATCAATTAAAAGTTGTTTCATGAAAAAGAAATTGAGTACTTTTGTTCACATACTCAACAGACAAGATATCTAATATTCTCAAATAGTTAAAATTACATAATATATTTGTATATCAGGATCTACAATTTGATTTTAAAAAAAAATAAAAAATAGAAAGAAAAGTGAACATTTTGAAAAAGACATGAAAAAGAACACTTCATGATTTATTAGTCTAGCTCTAGCAACTTTTGATTGAGATCTTATTAATTTACAATATTAGATGCATGTAATAGTATACGATATATGTCTCAACGTACTATAAAGATGAACTCATGATTGTATCATAAATACATCACCCTTTTGGGGTTGACCTATAAATTTAAATACAAAAAAGAAATATTATTTGAGAGTCTACATAGCCAATTGCCGAAAGCACACAAATATTGCACGCCTAAATTCGTTAATTAAAAGATTACCTTAGAAAAGAAGGAAAAGGTAGACAAAAAAACAGGAGAATGTTTTTCTGTTCTTTTTTGTCTTATAGACATATTGGCCCTTCAAATATGGAATGCTATGTTATAATATGATTCTAGTGAGAACTCAAACAAAAATCTAAAAAAAAAAAGTTGAATATATCGATAACTTATTAGATTTGTTCGTAAATTTCATTTAGATACTTGAATATGTGATGAAGTGTTTTTCTGACTCAAATTTTGATTTTCCATATAATATATCATTCGATTGTCGATATATATATATACATCTATAGATATATATTATTTGTAACCCCTTCCTCTAGGAGTTTCCTCCTTTTTACTCCCTTGATGACTTGAACTCACAACCTTTGGATGAGAGGTGTTTACCATCCGAGCATCTTCTTGTTGTAAAAAAAAATAAAATATTTGAATACATGTATAACGTGGAAATGCCACCATCAATCCATTCCCCACTATTATTTTATTAAAGAGTCGCCAGCCAAAAAGATATGTATTAGTAAAAGTAGTAAAGATTTGAAAGGGGCCATTCCAAATCCCATGCAATTACAAAATTCACTACTTTATTAAAAAAAGATTACTGATTTTCCAAGTTTTCTTTAGATGGGCCATTTCTTAATAACAACTTTTCTTATAAGTATAGGTAGCATGCTTATCTGATTAATCAGGATTATCCAGGAGGACCATTTCATTTATAGCTAGGTCCCACTCAAGACCATCTAGTTTACAAAATAATGTATATAGTATATAGATAATACATATTTTATACTAATATACATATACCTATATATAACATATACAATCAAAGTATATAAATAAGGACAAATTACTTAACTACACTCATTTACTTACCTTAATATCCATTTATTCCTACTTATTTCAAAAAATTCAAAAATCCCTTATTTACATATGTATCCCGCATGTATCCCGTGCACAACGCTATGTATCCCGTTCTGTGGAATGTATCAAACGCTATGTATCCCATGCACAACGCTATGTATCCCGCATGTATCCCGTGCACAACGCTATGTATCCCGCTATATGGAATGAATCAAACCTAATGTATCCTGTGCACAACGCTATGTATCCCGCTATGTGGAATGTATCTAATCTAATGTATCCCGTGCACAACGCTATGTATCCCGCTATATGGAATGAATCAAACCTAATGTATCCTGTGCACAACGCTATGTATCCCGCTATGTGGAATGTATCTAATCTAATGTATCCCGTGCACAACGCTATGTATCCCGCTAACATTATTTTTAAGAGATTTTTGGTAAATAGAAAACTAGAAGGGATAGAATGTTATTTAGTACTTATAATATGTGGTTCCTATAATTTATACTATAAATAATGTATATACTTGAATATTAATGTTGGTAAACTAAATGGCGAAAGGATATATTTACGTAAGTTTCCCAATAATCTTTATCTTGAGTAAATCGTACGTGTTCACAAATATATGATGAAGAAGATATACCGTGGCTCAGTTTATGGTGGACTTTAGTATGGGACATTTGGGCTTTCATGTGAACCGATCAAAAGGCACTTACAATGAGTTACATAGCATGAAATAGAAGCCCAATAATTTATATTTATATTTTTGAGTTAGTTTATAATTAAGCTAATTATTTTATTTCGTTAATATTAAGAAGTTTGTTAGTTAATTATATTAATTTTGATTCGTCTTATTTAAGTTTTAGCCGTTAAATTTAATTTGACTAACTTCTTAACTCGAATGGGTTATAATTGCAATCCTTGGGCCCTTAAACCTTTTTGGGGTAATTTTCATACACAATTCCAAAAGACCCAATTCTTCAGCCCAGCCAACATTAATCCATCAGCCCACAAAAACGACCCGTATTCGTCTTCTTCTTCGCAACGACGCCCAAACCCAGCAGCTCTTCGTTGTACCAAGAACCTTGTCGAATCGGTACAGGTTGTTGCTACTGTCTTTTGCTTTGAAATCAAACGGCTCTCATTAGAAATCTGTTGCATTTTGTACCAATTTCTTGCTGGCCAACCAAGGAATTTGAATTCGAATACAAATCTCCTAAATTGGAGAGGCGGCAGGTGGGATACGAAAATAGGTGAAGCTGGAAATTTAATCTAAATATAGTATTGTAGCAACGAAGGTTCGGAAGGAGAAATTCCCTTAGGCTTTGCGTTTATTTCAAAAAGGTGACAACTTCACCCTTATCTCCTTTCTTTCTTTTCGAATGATATGCGTCTTGTACTGATTCGATCCTCCCTTAGCATGAACTAGTTGTTGTTTTCTTTGTATGTTTAACTCTTCTGTTTTAGTCCATATAACGGTTGGCTTGATTCTTAACTGCATGAGATGTTTAAATGTTAGGATTTTGATTGACTATTGATTATGAATCGGTGATGTAGCTGATTAATTCATTCAAATTCCGCTCTTTGTTTGAAACTTTGTGATTTCTCTCTGTTAAGTGCCCTATATATTTCAAAATGCTACCACTGTTTAGTTTCACTATGTTGTTTCTAGATTGTAGCTCAGTTTTGAGTCTTGATTAAACCACTTATTTGCTATCTTTCCTTATTCGATTCTTGCTTAAGGTTGTGCACTAGTGTTTGGGCTTATTTAATGTTAGTTTCAGCATATTAACATGATTTGAATTTGTTTTCTCTCAAGCTTTAAGTCGTATTGGAGTCATGGACAAAATTTCATCGTTTATGAGTCATTTGCTAGTTTGAGATGATGGATTCTGTTGTGTTCTTGCATTTGACATGAGTTAAATGTCTAGTTGTTTTAGCTTAAGGCAGTTCTATCAAATATGCTAGCTTAACCTCTGGAAGATTGCGACTCCAAAGGTCACTCGCCGTCTCATTTTGGGTGTCCATAAACTTGCAGAGGCCAAAGTTAAAAGTGTTGCAGCCTTTGGTGGTGGTTTTGCCTTGTTGTTGCATCTCTAGAACCTGCTTTGTTTCAAGTTGTCTACTAGCTTTAAAATTTACTTTAGCATCTTCTGATCTATTCCTGTGGACACAGTTGCAGACAAAAAGCTTCTTGTTGAACAAAGAATTAGGTTTATCTATTCGGTAAACCGAACGAGATCAGTCCAAGCCAATTACCAAATGACTGTCCATCCTTTCCACTCCTAGTTTTTCTTCCATTTTATTGCTAACTATACTATCTTTATCAAATTTTATAAGCAGTTCAAATTCAATTACTAAAACCTGATGTCATTTTTTTAGAATTTGTGTTAAGATTTAAATGTTTGCTCCGCCTCTAATTAGTAAGCACACAAAAATTTGTAACATATCTAAGGTCACGAGTTTCATAGCTTATATACATATGTAAATATTATAACACGTTTAAAATAACTTATTTCAATTTTTTATTTATTTGACAATTATATCAATCCAAATCATAAATCGAGACAGAAGATTTTTTTTCTTGGTACTCCTTCTGCTTTAATTTACTTGTCTTTTTTTAATTTGACATAAAATTCTAAAAAATATATAATAATTTTTAAATTTTGTGATTTTAGGATAAACGTATTAAATATATATCAAAATATATAACTTTATCATTTAAACATGTCAGGTTGAATATTAGTATTAAAGAGTTATCAAAGAGTAGAAATTTATAGAGCTCATTATCATTTTTTTAAAATGAAAAAACACATGAAACACTCGTCATAATATGTCTGGAAATAAAAATTAATAATAATATGTTTGAAAATATGTATTTTTCTGTTGAGCTTTAGTAAATAGTTGGACTTTATAAATTCTCAATTATGAGTAGAAAAGGATGTCTTAGAAGATTGGACTTTTAATTTTGTGAACGGAGAAGGTTCATCTTTTGATTAGGAAATAGTGTAATTATTTGATCGACTGCTTATTGTTGTCACCCCACTTCTTGATTAGTTTTAGATTGTGAAGCAGGTGACCTGACTCCATGACAACTACCCAGACTACAATGAGTCAGCCTAATAAAGCTAATGAACGAGCAGCCTCCTCTACTGCCAGCGTTCAAAACCCAGCTTCCTCATTCAAAAGATTGGGCAGGAAATCACCGTTTATGAGATATGGACTTCCTATGATCTCACTAACAGTGCTTGGATCTATTGGTCTTAGCCAACTTCTGCAAGGCAGGTTAGTTATACTTAATGTCAAATTACCCAACTGATGTTCGTTTAACACTTACAAACTGACGAATAATTGTTAACCCTTCCCTAGTTTTATCAATTTTATGTAATTGTCCTTGTTTACACTTAGTCCTTATATAACTATCTGGTATTGTGAGCTCGGAACTCGATCTTAGTTTGGTTCTGATTTACTTGTCATTGTGTATATTAGTTAAGTTATTCTTTGATGTTCCTTTTGATGCATTTTTCTGGCTTTTCAAAGCTTTCATAGTTGCTTCTTCCTCAGTTGGAACTAATACATAATATTTTCATTTATTTTGAATAGTTAATAGTAAGTTTTAGACATCTGAGTCCATATGTTGAGAAAGTCAGCGAGGGAAGACATTTACATGTTAATCGATTATGGGTTTTGGATACCTCAGGCTCCTATGTAGCAGTCAAGTCCTTGTAAGAGTTGTCAAGATACTGTTTTTTGTTTTTCTCTACTGTAAATATGGCACAACCTTTGTTCTGTTGATATTTATAACATTGTTACTCCCTCCGTTTCACAAAGAATGACCTCCTTTCCTTTTTAGTCAGTTTCAAAAAGAATGACCTCTTTCCTTTATTGGTAACATTTTACTTTTTGCTTTCCACGTGGCATGTTTAAGACCATAAGATTAAGGGCAATTTTGTACATTTGACATAACTTTAATTTAGGACCACAAGATTCAAAAGTCTTCTTTATTTACTTAAACTCCGTGCCAAGTCAAACCAGGTCATTCTTTATGAAACGGAGGGAGTACTTTTTAGCAAAAAAAATAATGATAAATGCCAAAATAAAGTGTATTCAAGGCAATTCAAGGGTAAAGATATTAATAGCTCAAGAAAAGTAAGAATAAGTCAGGAGGAGATTTTCATCTACCTTCTTGTTACCTAATTATCATTTATCTCTTCTTGTTTTAGACCATTGTGCTTTTGACCTCTCGTACCCTGATGTTATATTGACTCATATCTTTTCGGATCATCATAGGTAAAGTGATACTTATATGTGTATTGGTAATGCTACTAACTATTGGCATCCTGCTAGAGTTGAATTTCGGTAGCTGAAGTGAAAGCCATAAATTTTATGGGCTATTTCAGTTTGCCTGAGTCTTCTGTCAATATGAGGGCTAGGCATTAAAATATGCCATCTCTTACCCCCTCTGGGTGTATTTATGTGGTTCATGCCCACTCCTAAGCAGTGTAGCTTCTAGATAGACAAAGTTTTGACATTTTTGGTGATCTCCCTGTTTTTTGGGGACAGTTTTCTCCTGCCATAGATTGTGTGCGGTTTTCAGACATTGTCCTATTTTTTAACCCTTGGCTTAAGACTAAGTGGTGCAAAATTTTGTAGTTCAGCAAGGATATAGCTAAAGTAAAGGATGATCAAGAGTGGGAAATCATCGAAACAAGAAAAGCTCTTTCCCGGTTTGGACCTGTCAATGCATATAACCCCAAAAAAATGAACTTGGAGGAAGAACTAAAGGTACAAATAGTGATCATTTGTATGTATGCGTGTGTTGAATTCCTTTCTAAAGCTTACTTTGATGCCTATTTAATTCCTTTGCAGGCTTTGCAAGAGAAGGTTGATATTAATGATTATGAATATAAGAAAATCCCTAAGCCAAAGGAAAGCGAATAAAATAATGTTAGTGGGACTCTCTTGTTCAATAATTTTGCAGCTCGTTGGCTTCTCTTTTGGACTGTCATTTCACTGATTTCTCTGTCAGGCAGACTCTTCCATCCACGAGTTACGTGCTACCGTTGGAAGTAATTTTTACTGAGTTTGTGAATGCTTTTAGCTGTGTATGCAGGTTGAGTATGTAACTCTTAGTCAAGTTTTAAGTTTATGCATTCCATGTTTGAAATAATGTGGGCTATTCTTCCTTAGATCTTATTAATTAACTTCTATTTAAGAAACTGCTTCTGGCTTGCTCTCGTGACTTGTTTCTCTTGAAGTTTGCCCACTATACTACTAATTCCCCCTTCTAGTTTAGATTAGCAAATAATACTTGTCAAAAAAGGCTTCATTTTCTATTTTAATTTTCTTATTTCTTAGTCATGTTCGATTCATTTCTCATTATGAACTTATACTGCAGAACCATGTATTCAACTTCCAATTTTATTATGGTCATCGACGAAGCTCCTAAAATTAGTTTGCATTTTACATGCGTTATTATCAAAAAAAACAACTTGACCCATGTCCTTTGGCGTGCATGAATTGTGCTATGGTTTCTTTTACACACTAGTTTGATTCTTTGGCAAAAAAAAGTACACATTATTCTGGTTCTGGACCTCTAAATATAGCACCTTTTTAAACATGTCATCTGTTTGCTACACATTGACAATCAGCATTCACTTGTCCGTGCATGTTTTATAATCTTCTAAATGCTAATACACAACACTCTGCGTATTACCTTTACTTGAAAAAGAATGACACGGTTATTGGCAACAAGTAGTCGAGATTTGTTGAACTTCACGCTGAAACATACATAGACTATAGTATAAAATTGCTAATATGTTCCAACGAAATGCAGCTGTCAATCTTTACAACATCACAGATAGCAAAAACATACTTGGTTGATACGTCCCCTTCTTTAACACTTTTGTCTACCATAGGAAACTTGGTTTTCCCACCTCAGAAAATTTTGACTACAATACCAACCATGCGCAATTGGGGCAAACATCAAACATTTCGTTAAAACTTTTTCAGAGAGAAAAACAAATTTCTACCCCAAAAAGACAGTAACATAATACCCTTTTTCCTCAATTCTCACCATAATTTTACATTTCAGCCCCTAGCTGACAACACATCCAAATTTAGACCGGAAGATGATCCCTCGGGCTGAGAGAGTTTTCTGATATTTCTGTTGTAGTCAACATCTTGTCCTAATGGTAGGTCCAAAAGGTATTTTTCCTTGCTACCAACTTGCTGCAGATGCATCAGTGCAAGCATGCTGATTGCAACCAGGGCTGCATTCCCCAAAATTCCACCCACTTCATCCACTCTAAGAGACTTCCTAAAGAAATCAAAACTAGAAAAGAATATATTGAATAGAGCATTTGATCTCTTCCTTATCTGCGTCGTTAAATTTTCACCTGTGGCGCTTGTAGCAGGACCATACAGATTTTCAGGAGAAACAAACTGACTGGCATTACGAACATCTCCCACCAAAGATTGAGCTTCTTCAATGAATTTATATTTCTTACCCGGATGTTCAGCCAATCGCATTGCAAGTACAATTCGGCTTTGCTCTAAGCGAGCAAGAGCAGCATCCCTTTCTGCACGTTGCTGATTCTGTACGGTCTGGTACAAGTGCACCCAAAAAGAAGAAGAAAAATTAAGTAGGAAGTTAATATCTATTATACATAATATAATATTAAAGTCAATCAAACTGCGTGGTCATACTTCTACTTTAAACATACTCTAATCAATGTAAACAGCTCAAACCAACTACTTGTCTTCACCAACCACATCTCTGTACCAATTTGTAACTGATTCTGTTACGCATTAGCAGCACCTGCCCAAACACCCCACAACTCCAGAAAGAAGAAAGAAAATGCTCTCACACATCAGGAACCACTTCAAGTAATGCAATTGAAGAACAAGATATAGATTGCATTTACTACAATTACTCCAATGCCTTCAAAGTTGACTAGCAAGAAAAGTTGGTCTTATGCAAATGGTACCATGACTCCCCAGATGAACAAGATATAGATTGCATTTACTACAATTACTCCAAGTCCCTAATGCCTTCAAAGCTGTCTAGAAAGAAAAGTTGATCTTATGCATAGGGTACCACGACTCCCTAGATGGACCAATGAAATACACTAACCAGCGCAGTTGTCAATGGTAAAACTCCCTAAGTTTACCTGTGTTGAACAGAAATGGCTGAGAGATTCAACCCGAAAATTGGCATAGTCTCTAGGTTCAGATGTATATTTAGCACATTGACAGTGGATAAGCGGGATTATTTTCTCATGGTGAAATTTATGAACATTTTGGAACAGCCAGTTAAAATAAATCTATGAGTTTATAATTGGTAGAGTTGTCATGAATCATTATTCCATACCAAAAAAATTCGAGACAGCGAAAAACTTGCGCTGAAAGTTAACATATTTCTTAAAGTGACAACTAATACAAGGGTAATATTCTTGATTTTGTTGAAATCCTAGAATTACTCATTGATGATGTATTTAATGTTTTGTTTGGATAAGTTGATTACACATTTAGTATTAGAATTGGTTGGCTCTTTTCACCATTATACCTTCTTTTTTTTATGACTGTGGTGTCCATTATTATACTTTGATCTTTTTCAGTCTTTTTTTGTGGATAATGGTGATGTCCGAACCAGCTTGTGCACACCTCGACTATTCCACAGGTACCCACCAACACAAGTACCAAGTAACTGTGCTGGAATTTGAACCCTTCTTTCAAAGGTTTGCACCCACTTCATTTGACGTTGGCCACATCCTTGGGTGTTGCACTATGCTCTTTTGTTTCCTCGAAGCCTCTTCAATTGTTTTTGTGTTTTTTTTCCGTTACTTGGGTCGTTAGTCATGTTTGGATTATGCTTGAATAATGAATAAACTTCTAACACTTCGGCATATGTATGTAATTACGGCCAACCGCCAACTGAAATATCAACAAATCCAATTTTTCCTAGTACTTTTCATTTGGATACTTTGGGGCAAAACTTGGTTTGGAACTTCAATTGCTTCAACCTTTTGTTGAGGTCTCAAACTCTCAGTAATGCAAGGGTGTGACCTAGCAGTCAAATGAAGTGGGAAGAAAACCACGAGGAGGTTCAAATCAGAGACAAAAGCATCACTGGATGATTTCTGCCTAATCTTTGGCAAGAAAATTTATCCAATATTGATGGGAGTCGGTAGGTATCCAGTGGAATAGTTGAGGTGTGTACAAGCTCGATCGGACAATCTTCATCCCAAAAAAGAACCAATAACTCTAAGTACCAAAAAGTTATACTACAGAATATATGCAAAACATATCCTAAAAGGGTACTTCTTGCAAGTTGTGGAGGCTAAGACACTAGAGCTCTCACACTCTCTTTCTTAGTTCTATCAAATATGCTAGCTTCACCTCTTGGTCCATGGAAGATTGCGACTCCAAAGGTCACTCGCCGTCTCATGTTGGGTGTCCATAAACTTGCAGAGGCCAAAGTTAAAAGTGTTGCAGCCTTTGGTGGTGGTTTTGCCTTATTGCTGCATCTCTAGAACCTGCTTTGTTTCAAGCTGTCTACTAATGTTAAAATTTACTTTAGCATCTACTGATCTATTCCTGTGGACACAGTTGCAGACAAAAAGCTTCTTGTTGAACAAAGAACTAGGTTTGTCTATTCGGTAAACCGAACGAGATCAGTCCTTGCCAGTTACCAAATGATTGTCCATCCTTTCCACTCCTAGTTGTTCTTCCATTTTATTGCTAACGCTTTATCAAAAAACTTATAAGCAGTTCACACAGCCATTAATGTTGCGTACAACTTTTTAATGCACATGTACGCCTTAATATTTTTTTCACTGGACATCAAAAGAATAATTGATACCGACCTCAAAGAACACAATTGATACCAACCTCAATGAACGTACGCCATCAGAGATGCATACAGTAAATCCAGAAAAGTCATGAACATCATATAGTTCATTTGAATCGAACAACATAGTTCTTGTCATTATTCTTTTCAGAGAAAAGCAATGAACATACAAGCTTGTGCAGAGGAAAAGGAACAAGAGCGATTCGTAATTAAGTAAGAAAAAGAGGTGAAATAAAATTTAATGTCAAACTTAGATTGTCATTAAAACAGATCTCTTCCTACCTTAACAACACGCAAATCAATTGAGTTTCGAACACGAGAGACATTGTGTTTTTAATTCCTCGGTAACTTAACAACTTTTCTCATATTACCTTCCAAATTAGATAAAAGTTCAAACATTAGTTGGACTGTTGGGTAGTCAAGAATCTGAAGGTAAGAGTAAATTGCGTTTATGGGTTACTGTTTCCAATGCTTGAACTTTGATAATGGTGAGACTTTCAATTTTGAGGAAGATGGAAAACAGGGCAGTGATATGTGGATGCGTTAATGAGTCCAAATTCTGATATTACAGCTGCCTATTCTTTGAATTTTGGGGTTCTGATAGTAAACAGAAATGGTGATAGCAATAGTTGTGGTCTTGGTGTGATTACTGTGATAAGAAGGAATAAAGAGAAAGAAAACAAACCTAAAAAAAATATCTTAAATGTTAAGTTGAATTAAATATATAATCTCCAATTGGAAACCGACACATGGACTATTTAATTCAATTTTAGCAATTATAGCTTCATTCGTTCAATCCTTACACGCTTACAAGAGGTGTAGTCAACTTCTTGGACAGGTCAGCATTTAAGGGTTACAAAATTCCAAAAATAAAAGGTTCAAGGGGGTAATAGAACCCAGTATGGAATAAGTGTATAGTTTAGTAAAATGACAATATGTTGGGAGGGCCTTTTACCATTTTCTCAACAAAAATACTACCAAGTCTTCACTGCAACTTGTATCAAACTTTTCTCTATGAGCACCAAATAAAAACCAATCTGTCAAAGTCCTGTTTCTATGAAAATTTTGGCAAGTGATAGTGTAGTATACAATCATACCCATGCTAAAATTGCATGTTACAGTATCAAATAACCACAAGGTTTTTGCAGTAATTGCTCTACAGTGGACAAGATGGAATTTCAGCACTAATTTGATAACAGCAATATCAGTATGATAAATACATTGCTTACAACTCGAAGCATGAAAACAAAACAAATACACAGGTTTAGTGTTATCTTTCTTTTCACATCCATTCCTCCTCCTCTTGCAATTACTCATTTTTGCTTGAGGGCTGACCCAATATAAGATGTACTAACATATAAGCAATAATATGC